AAGAACAGCTCTCAGGCACAGAACACTGTGCACCTTTCGGCTTTTATACGGGCCTGGCCGGGGGTGGCGCTCAACGGAGGGCGAGCTGAAGCACATGCGAGCCTGCAAAAGAAGAGAGCGGGGTGCGAAATCGTGCCTGACGGGATCCACCCGTTTGACAACCCACGATGCACACCGTTTGGTGGTTGGGGTGCGTAAACCTTTATTGGGCTGGTTCTCCTTTTGAGGCGAAGAGAGCGACGGCCACATGCGTGAGGACCGAGCCGGGAGAGGTGTATCCAGATTATAGTTTGGTTTTTATTTTTTTTTTTAACAATAAGACGGTCATGAACGGTCGCCGCTTGCGTGTGAATACAGCACAGAAAGTTGTTCCATGCATTGAGACAATCGTGCTGATTTAGGTCCAGAGCTGCGCCAACTTTCGGTGGCTGGTTCTCTTTCTCAAGACGGCGCAGGGCGATGGCCGCTGGCGTTCGCACACAGCATGACGGGATGTATCAGACATACATGCTTTTGCGTCGAATGAATGAGAGTACCGAGAGAAATCAGCAGAATCCTCAAATTCCGTGTATCCGACACCAGTGTTCGCCACCTTTTACCCGAACGACAGGGCGCAATTGCAATGCAATGGGAAGCAAACTCGTCTCTCGCAGTGTCCGTGCGCACGCATATATTTCATCTACCAGATCGACCTTGAAGCGTGTGCAAGGACATTGCGGTTGAGTTAGCGGTGAGCAAGTTTTCAGCGGCTATGGTCTCGTTTGCGGGTCGAAGAGCGACGGACGCTTGCGTACGAAGAGAACGTAAAGCAGTTGTGCCGTGAACGACGCATTGTGTGACTGATGGTTCGTGGCTGTGTAACCTTTCAGTGACTGGTTCTTCTTTCTAACGAATCGAAAAGCGATGTGCGCTTCCGTGTGGAGACAACGTAGCGAAACGTATCACGCATTGACACAATTGTGGTGATTTGGGTTGACGGCAGCGTCAACTTTCGGTGGCTGGTTCTCGTGTTTCACGGAGCGCAGAGCGGTAACCGCTTGCGTGAGGACAGAGCAAACATAGAAGCACTCACACACAGGCTTGCGCGGCGAACGCACCAGAAACCCGAGCGAAAACAGCCAAAAACCGATTTTGTGGGTTTTTGGTGCCGTTTTTCGCGCGAACGCGTGAACGGATTTAGGTCGAGGCAAACTTGTTCCTCGCAGTGACCCCCTCCACATATATTCGAAACCCCGGCGGTAGGTGGGCCGGGGGATGCACACGACAGCCCAAGTCCTTTTCTTCCCCACTTTAGTACATTTCTCTTTCCTTGTTCGTGGAAGAATGACAGTACATGCATTAGTGCCTACCTGCATGAATTGCAGTGTTTCCGGCGATAGATGGAGAGCTGAGACATAGACGTGGCAGCGAAAGTCGGTCGTGAGACGTCACGGTTCAAGGGTGTGTCAGTGTACAGACAATGCATGCCCGTCCATTGCCCTTCTTGTTCTGACTGGCACTGGTTTGCGCCGGCAAGCGCTAAATACAAAGTGACTGACTGAGGAGCCGTCTGAGACTTGTACGCGATGATTGGGATTTGTAAGTGAAGCGAGAGAGATACTCAGATACTCTGCTTACTCGGTATGCCGACCGACCGACCGAAACACATTCACCCTGTCCTATCCAGTCAGTTGATTGATTGGTTGATTGATTGACTGGTTGATTAATTGATTGGTTCGTGTACGTACAAGCCCCGACTGTCTGTCTCTGTGAATGCTCGGCTGCATCTACCGACACTGTCTGGCTGTTTGTCTGTATGAATTATGTATTCATGTCTCTATGTGTTGTGTGTAATCTCATGTCTGTCTTATGTTTCCTGTGTGTATTTTGTGGAAGTGTGAAGGCAAATGTACTGTGTGGACAATACAAACGAGTCTTATCTAGTTCGATGTGTGAAGGACATTGGTTTGCGAGAGAAGACCATGGCAAGGAAGCTGTGATTCAACGGGTTGCAACCCACAAGTTTTAAATCCTCCATTTTTTGCGGCCTTTAAAATGCGTTCCTTGTTTGTCTGATTTCTTCAAAATTTCTTCTTTAGTTTGTATTTGTTTGCGTTGTTTTGAAAGCTTTTCGGCGATTTGCCGGTTTTTAAATATTTTTTGGCACATTTGGGACGTTTTAAAGAATGTGCGATCAGGGGAGGAGGCTTGGATGGGGTGTCATCACTTCTTCGCGGATAATCAGACAAGAGATCATGCTCGGAACGGATCAAATAACATAAACGGAGCAGAGAATGAAAACAGAAAAAGGTATATGGATGCTGTAATTAGAGCCCGGATTACTTCGATGCACGGAAAGGAGACATCTCGCTCCTCTTAAATTCGGGAACGGGTTTTGAAGCTGAGGCAGTGTCAGGCCTCAGAAGGGCCCTCCATGTCGGATCATCATGTCGGCTTTCCGTCAAACCGCTACATTCTCTCCTTGTTGGGTCTTTGTTTAGCATGTAGAGCTTTGCACAAGTGAGCAGAGCATTTTTTCCTTCTCTGACAAACCCCAATCATCGCAGCAAGCCGTGTCTCAAACGTCCCAGACGGCTCTTTAGTCCTCTTTAGTTAGTCCACCCCGTGATCTACTGACAGAACTGAAATCGTGGTTATTGTAGAAGAGACTTGACACTTGACAACGACACACAAAGAAAAGCTCTCAGGCACAGAACACTGTGCACCTTTCGGCTTTTACACGGGCCTGGCCGGGGGTGGCGCTCAACGGAGTCCAGCTCTAGCCAACTAAGTACGTGTGGCTAGAAGTCGCTCGCAAATGAGACACAACGGCTGCAGCGCCCTGGCGATTTGTGGTTCTATCTCCATAACAACACCGTCACCTTTCATCCTTGGACCTTTAATCCCAATAGAAGAGGCCGGTCCTCCTCGAGCCATCATGATGTAACTCTGAAGCAGCAAAACGAGTGGGAAAAGGCTTATGAAACGACGCGTTGGTAGCAGGTTGTTGCTCCCTCTACCGCACATCACGAGGATGTACGGCAAGAGACGGTGGAGCTCACGCCCCAGGTTACTGTGTCTGGCCCTCATGCTGATCACCATGGTAGTGGTCATGGTGATGAATCTCACATCCCACCCGCGCGGCCACGGTGACGAGCCGACAGATCCATCCAGATTTCAGCGCTTCCTCCTTCGCAGCCGGCTTCCCTTCTCGCATGTGGGAGTCCCGCCCAACCCACCCTTAGAGCTTTCGCCAGCCCCGAATGTCCTACAGCGGTTGACGAATGTGACAAGAAGACAGCTCACGCCGGCAGATATCCGTCGCACACAGAAGTGTTCCAGGCACCTCATGAATTTGCTGTCTGAAGACGATCTCGTGGCCATGTCATTATCTCAAATGGACGCCTCCACTGCTATCAACAATTATAAACAGTGCCCTCTTCTGAGCCGCATGTGTTTGTCCTTCTCAAATTGGCTGGGCGAAGAGAACGAGATTCGCAGGAGGTTCGTGAGGCGCAATCTGCAATGGTTTTGGCATGAGTATGAGCAGCACGCGTTTGGCAGTGATGAAATCAACCCGTCAAATGGGAAAGGCCGGGCTAATTGGGGCGGGGTCGGCGTGATGATTCTCGACTCAATGGACACTCTTTTCTATGCTGGTCTGCACGATGAGCTTGACAGGGCGCTGCAATGGGTGGCAGACAATCTTTCATTCAATCGCCACTACAGCGCCAATGTCTTTGAGACAACCATACGGCAGCTGGTGGGAAGATGAAGCAATCATTGGTGCGGTGCACAGACTTGACCTTAATGTTGTGTCATAGGGCGGCCTTTTGGGTATCTACTCGCTACTGAAACCGACCCTTCCTAAGAAAGAAAAGGACAAAATGACCGATGAGGAGAAGCGTCGGGCTCATCAAATGGATAGGGTCCTGGAAGAGGCGGTGTCGCTGGGCGGGCGGCTCTTGAAATCGTTTCCTCCTACGGTCACTCCGAGACAGTGGTCGGAAAGTGGGCCTGTCATCGAGGAGTGGATGACTGGCGGACGCTTTGTGGGTGTCCCACAGACATCTACTGTCCTTCTCGATAGCGGAAAGGGGACTTACCGTGGCGGCGCATCATGTCTCGCTGGTCAGCAAAAAAGGACTGTCACAACCAGCATTGTTTCCTTGTTGTGCTCAGAAATCGGCACAGTGCAACTTGAGTTGAAGGTGCTGAGGTAAGCGCAGATAGCCCATCTTGCTCATTCCCCTTGGCCCTCGTCGTAGCCACTTCACAGGTGATTGCTCCTATGCGGAAGCAGCGGAGGCTACGACCGACCTGATCGAGCGCCGAAGACAGGTGTCCAGGCATGGCCTCATCCCCACCCACCTCAAACCGCAGGATTTGGCCACACACAAGGGGACGATCTCACTGGGCGGCGGAGGGGACTCGTTCTATGAGTACCTCGCCAAAGAATGGATTCTCACAGGTAGTCGTGAGTCTCGGGGGGCCATCTCTTGTTCAATTTAAATGTGTGTGTGTGTGCCCCTCAGGCCAGCAAGACGCCTTGCTGAGGGCGATGCTGCTGGGCTTTTTGCGCAGGTTGCCCGACGTGGTATCCAAGACCTCCAGGCCTCCATCCCTGCCGCAGCCAGACTGGAGCAAGACATATGGTGACAGGGAGGGGCGGATTAACTACGGTGGCCAAGGACTCGTGTATGTCGCTGACCTGTCGGAGCGGGGCAGAACAAAAAGCGCACGGATGGGCCATCTGGTGGGCTATCCGGCCAAATGGGCAGCCGCATTTCGTCTCGACCTTTTTTTAGGCATGTTTTCTTCCGGGTATGCTGATGCTGCTGGCGCGGACATCCCTCGTCTGGCAGCCAGATGAGCCCCCAAAGGCCGCCTGCCACGACAGGAGCTTTGCTCCAGCGTGCCACAAAATAGACGGAGCCTTTCTTGAGCGGCTTGCTGACGAACTATGCAAGACTTGCGTCTCCATGTATTTCTTCACTCAAAGCGGTACAGAGAGAAAGTAAGAAAGAAAACAAAGACTCGCGGTAAAGTGAGATGTCTTTGTCAATCCAGGTCTGCCGCCCGAGGGAGTCAGGTTCAGCGATTCCGACATTCAGCGAGACATGTCGCAGCGCAACACGCTTCTACGGCCGGAGACTGTCGAGTCCCTCGCCTACATGATTGAGCTTCAGGGGAGGCCGCACTATTTCACCCAAGACCGACAGGCGAAGGCTGCCACGAGCGATGCAAGCGGGCAAAAAGAATACATCTTTTCCACTGTCACTGAGGAAGAAGAATCGGCGGCCGTTCGCGAGTGGGGTGTCCGGTACCGCAATTGGACGTGGAAAATCTTCCTGGCGATGATCAAATGGGCAAAAGGAGCACATGGTTTTTCCGCTCTCGCTGATCCTTATGCGGTGCGCACCAGGTGCAGACGGAAGGCCATTGGATTGCCTCTTTCCTGTCTCTTTAAGGTCCCCCCGCGGCAGACGAACACCATGGAGAGCTTCGTCATCGCAGAGACATTCAAGTATTTCCTGATCGCGTTCAGCCCGCCCAGCACCGTCAGACTCGACAAACTTGTGTTTAATACAGGTGAGAAGGTACAGCCAGGTCTTGCGTAAATGCATTCATCTGTCTGTCTGTCCCTCTGTGCGCATCCGGCATGGACGCGTTGCAGAGGCCCACCCACTGCCTGTGTTGCCTGACGGGGGGAAATGTGGGAGGGTGGCGAGGCACAAGAGGCGGTCTCAGCAGACTGTCTCAGAGACGACATGATGGCAGAGTGGTCTTGCAGCCTGCACTTCCGGCTGACTGTGAGGCCGCTGAGGCCCCTGGAGATGAGGGGTAAAGGAAGATTGGCAATGCATAACGTCATTCAGTATGGATATGAATATCTGTTGCAGTCCTCTCCGGCCGGCTGTGACAATCGGAAGCACAAGCTGATGGACATAGGCGCGATGTCGGAAGGAGCAATGGGACGTACTAATGCGATGTGATTGGATTAATATGTGGACGCGGCCTACTGAGTGCAACGTGGTTTGAGATGCAAAAATGAAGTGCTTCGGACATTGTTAACGTTTCATTTCGTGTTGACCGTCTTACATAAAAGCAGGGCTAGCTGGTTGCATCAAATAGAATAAACAGCAAAGGACTGTGCATGCACGCGACTGTCCATCACCGGCGCCGTGCTTGTGGCTGGCTCGGCTCCAGTGACTAAGCGGAGTGATGCATGACGCACAAAAAGACGATGCAGTGCTACCACAGACCCATAGAGACATACAGTTGAGCGACACCCACGTCGCAAATTTGTTTTCGGCAAGCACGATGCACCATGTCGCAATTGACGTGCTGCCTGGAAGTTGCCAGCCGCAGCTGGCTCCCGGTGTAGTTCGTTAGCAGGAGACTTCGTGCCCGTAAATCACATTAGTAGAGAAGGCTCAAAAACTATCTACGAAGGCAGGCATCCCACCCGACCTGTCTGCCGAGCTCTACCTATCCGTCAGCGACCCACCCCTCCCCTCTCATGCCCTTCCAGCAGAGTGGAAGGCGACCTCGAGTCCTGCTGTGGGGCTCCTCACCGACAAGCGCGTCTCGTGGTCGCTGTCGTTGTTCATCACGATCTTGTGGGTATTGTGGCCTGCGGTGGGATGGACAAAGTCAAGTTTCCTCGGCTTTAATACCCCCTGTAGTGAAGAGGACTATTCCGGTCTCTGCCTGGGTCTGAAAAGGCTCTCATACTCGATCAGCAGCCATGCGAGATAACAGCCAAAGTCCACGGGGCGCAAATATCTCTGGGCGAACCTCTGGGCATTCTCAGCTATCCGTCGCGCATCCCCGTCGTGCTCCAGTGCCCAGATCAGCTTAGCAGGCAAATCAGCGAGGGAAGGAGACACGGGAATGAAGTGCACCCATGGCTGTAGCCATCCGTCCATCCATGTTTCAAAAGCGGTCTTAAAGGGATACAGAGAGCGCAAGCTGAAAGAGGGTTGACCGCGTTCCTTTGTCCGTTTCCAGTGCAGGATACCGAAAGGAAGACGAGAGAGTTGGACCGGAGTAGACCGACCTGCAAAAAGAAGACGCAGAAAGGTCTAGGGAGACTTGTTATAACGTAAGTTTCATTGATATGTTTCCCAAGTAGACGACCAGTCGCCTGCTGTACGAGTTCCCTATGTGGGAGATGTACTCATCGTCATATCGTAAGCAGCTGATGGGGGAAGATGCATGGCGTACCATCGACGTGCAGTACGTATTTGTAGTCAAAATGGCGCATAAAGGGTATCGGCTTGGCTCTCCCGAGAATTCCTTCCAGCTGTGAGCAGATGGATGGCGTGTTGCACTGCCCGTAGCCTGTCATACCCACATCGAAGATGTCTCCCACACGCGATGATGCCCACTCGCCCGACGGCCACTGATCCTGATCCGACAGGAGACCATGCGACCGCATCGCGTCGCCAACATCCTTCAGAGTTGCGGCTTTGTTATTCTGCCCGAACAGCTTCACAAGTCTCCCCCTCTCACATTTCCACAGCAACTCGTCTGCATTAGTCCACTGGCATCCCGTGTTGGATCCCCGCCACACCAGCTTCTCCGTCTTATCCTCCCATCTGGGCAACGGGGCGTCTCCGGGAGTCCACTCACTGGGATAGAACGCAGACACGATGTCGACAAAGCAATGCGGCACGCGAGTGCGAGAGAAGATGGGTAGGAAACCCCGGCGGGCGTCAAATGTCACCGGCGAGACGAAGAACCCGACGATGGATTGATAAGCGGCTGTCTGATTGAGGCAGGATGGCCTGATGGTTTCAGCGGCGCTCCTGCCCCTGAATCTCATTCGGTCAGGTTGACCGATGCTCTCATTCGCAGGCCGCAGCACGCGCGGTTCGTCTAAAAGATTTGTTGTCAGGAGCATGTCGGGCAGCACCTCGGCAATGGGTCCAAGCAACTCCTTCCTCCAGGTACCACTTCCCCACTGGGGTTGGCAAGATACAGGAACGAAGAACAGGTATGATGGTTTATGCGTGCTGATACTTTGTGTGTGCTATGTGGTGGTGCGGTTACGAAAGGGATGTCTCCTCGGACGTGGGCCAACTTGCCTTCCTTCACCTGAACAGAGCAGACAGAATGCCACTCATCCGTGTCTTTTTTCGGAGCATGGGGGGCATGAAGCCGCATGCCGTAGGGGAGAGGTACCTGCCAGAGGACAGTCCTTGGTGCTTTCGCCGCGTTTTCGATCATTGATTTGAAGATGCCGGGCTTAGCGAATGTCTGCAGGTTGCGAAAAGTCTCAAGCTGGTGATCAGCATTTGCGTAGTGCGATGGCTCTGTTGAGCAATTCTGTGCTTCCGCATAGGGCCGCCACTTGTCGACAAGGGCAGACGGGATTGGTCGGCTATAGAATGAGACGTAAGCGCTCTCGAACTCCTCCGCAGGGGTCACCGCGGTGTGTCCTTCAAGCATCTCCATTCTGATGAATTCATGGCCCTTGTGGGCTTGTCGCAGCCGTCCAGCGCGAAGAAGCCCCACGTCACCAACAAATCTCTGGGTCAGCCGTGCGGCGAAGAAGGCGAAAACCGTCAAGATTGCGATAGCCAAAAGAAAAAATTGTCTGGTGTTCACACAATGTCCAATGTCCCCGCCCCGTGTGGTTCTTTCCAGCCTCTCACCTCCTACGCCGGCCCATCGATGATGCTTCATAATAGTAAGTGCTTATTCAGGGAGAGATCAATGACCGCACTTGTGGCTCCACCTGCGCCCGGACCGCGTCCCGCATGTCTGAGCGCTTTCCGCGGGTCAATCACGCCAACCGTTGGCGCACCGGTTGAAGGGCAGGTGTAAACTCGAGGCAGTTTTTCCATAAAATTGCCGTAGCTTTCAGTAGCTGCGTTGGGTTCGAACTCGGGACGAGTGGGTGCCTCTCCTCTCCTCGATGACCGTGTCCTTGAAAGCTTCGGCCGCCCAGATCCCCGTCTGCATGACTGGCATCTGTACGAACCATCAGCGTGGAGTCGTGGACTATGCGGGTTGGACGATGGCCTCATCGCGGAATGCCCTCTTTCTTGACGACACGCAGCATTCAAGGGGTATCAGAGGCAGGATACCACGAGGCACTTGCTTCAACAACAACTATATAGTTCGGTTCGAAAAAGGGGGTGAGGCCAGGAGGGCTCGCCATCTTCGTCACAGACTATCCCAAGTCGAAGCGGTATTGTAAATGCGTTGGCAACATTGTGAATACACCAGGCCTGGCCCCACCATCCCAACAGCCCTCTCAACAGCCCTCTCAACAGCCCTCTCAACCGTCCCAACCACCTCCACGACCCCCTCAGCCGCCAACAAACGCAAACAACCATGCCAGCAACACGAGAGGGGGCAGAGGCGGCAGACGAGGCGGCAGAGGGTCAGGGAGAGGACGGGGGAGGGGCCGAGGCGGGGGGCGAGGGCGTGTCGCGCCGAGAGGAGGAGGCGGGGATGGCGGGGACCCCGACGAGCCAGGCGACGACACGGGTGGGGGCGGCGATGGGGGAGACCACAATGGGGGCGGCAGCCGCCGCGCCGCATCAGCACGCAAC